GGGGGGGGGGGGGGGGGGGGGGGGGACGAGGAAACCTGAAGAGTCAGGGGAGTAAAGGTACGGTGTGCCCCCGCTTCCCAAACTGCTTTTACATCGATGTTAAACTGCGGAACGTTACAATCAAAGCGTTCAACTCCACTCACGTTGAAACGGCGTCTGCATGAGCACAACGCTCGGTCCGATGGAGGACGAGGTTAGGGATGCTGGGGGGGGCGAGGCGTTAAAGGAGCAAATCAAACAAAGTAAAGAGGGCACTTAGTTCTTCCTGAAACCCTGTGACCCTTCCACCGCTGTAAAGTGCACGGAACGTGCCGACAGCGTGGACGAGGTGCCGGTCATGAACACACACACAGAAAAAAAAAAAAGTCAAGTTTCATCTTTAAATAAACTTTTGCGTGTGTGTGTTTCACAGACGAGCGACGTTGGCAACAGATACAGCAAAGTAAGAACCGTAAGAGAGGACGTGGTCTTAAAGGGTCAGAGTCGGAGAAAAGTAAACCCCTGAAACCAGGACCTGAGGTGGTCCTCGAGGGACAGATGACGTGCAGAGCGGGGAGGGGGGACACGTAGGACAGACGAGGAAAGACAGAAGGCGTGATCTGGGACAGAGTTGGTGCTGGGGCGAGAAAAAGAGGAAGAGGAGGGTGTTGTTCAGTCTCGCTGGGCTTCATCCTCCGCGTCCTGCAGCACTTCTTTGTTCTGTTCTTCGCCTGAGATGAGAAACAAAAACAGAACGAGTCGCTGAGGCTGCCGGAGACTCCGGTAAATTATTCAATCAAACGCTGCGTCATCCTAAACCGTAACCCATCCAGAAAACGACAAACTTTAAAACTGTCGAAGGAACTAAACGTTTTGTTAAAACGATTAAAAATTCAGACAACTTGAATGTTTTCATTAAAAATTTACCTCACCGTCAATAAAAACCACGTCTGACAAATAATTTGGGGTGAACTTTTGGCGTCCTAGCACAGAACCTGGTCTGTAAATTATTCCTGTTATTTACTTGTTTACACATTAGTCAGGCTTTTATTTTCTGCAAGCTCAGCCCAAAGCTTTATTTTTCCTAATAGTCGAATAATTCTTTGGTCCTAATCAAAGCGTTCAGTAAATCACAACGTTCAGTTTGTAAAACAACATTTTCCCACTTCAGCTGCAGAATGAAGTACTGATAAACAATCTGCAGTTTTTCTTATTAAACTTAATAAAACCTGTTTCTCATTTACAGCTTTCATTCAAGAAGTTGCAGTTGCCTTACACAGCAAGGCGGTCTAATTAAACGAAAACTTAAAAATCTACTTTTTATTCTATTTCATGCTTATTTTAAAGACTTAAACAGAAGTTTGTTAGTGAAGAAAGAAAAGCAGTTCAGCTAAAATATAAGCCACAGTTCCAGTAAACTGTGTAGACGGTGAGTTTAACGTCAGGCTGTGCTTTAAGTTTAGTGAAGGAAGTCTGGCTGCGTAGAACCGTTGCCATGGAAACCCCCCCCCCCCCCCCCCACGCTACAAGGGTTTTAAAGGGCACAAATAAAAGGACAGAATCCACCGTGACAGAAATAGAAAGCGTACGAGCGCTCGTTAGCGCCTCGGCAAGCTGGGATGTGAGAAAGCTGCAGTAGACGAGCGGCTGCTGCAAGAAAGAACTAAATGTTTTTCTTTTCTTTGATTAAAGTGCGCTGTGACCGCCGGTGTTCAGTGACCATCGGTGTTCAGTGACCGCCGGTGTGCAGTGA